AAGCATGCCACCTGTTTAGAAACTGAAATTAACTGTTTACTGCTTATATTAATTTTATGTCTATGAGTTCTCTCACTGATTAAAACGAAACATATCAGATCTTCCATCTGTTTAACATCAAGAGGAATTATTTAAACTAATAATAATTTAAATAGCTTTTTCCACAGATTCAAATGGGCTGCTGAAAGGTATCCCATCAATCATTGCTCCTGCACCTTTCCTGGGATTCCAAATGAATGCATCTTAGGCAAAAATACATGGTTTTAAGGTTTATTTTTTTAAAAATGCAGGCGAGTATGAACAGCCAACAGAACAAAACAAAACAGCTCTGTAGAACCATAAATATTTTCATATAGCCCACAAAAATGTCAGGCTTGATAACTATATACATCCCCTCTACATTAGGAGTCACTCACAACCCATTAAGAACTTTAAGACAAATGTCAATTTTCTGAGTGACAAGGTGGGTGAGGTAATATCTTTTATTGGACCAACTTCTGTTGATGAGAGGGATAAGCTTTTGAGACACACAGAGCTCTTCTTCGGGTCTGAGAAAGGTAGTCCCAACCTCACAGCAAAATGCAAGGTGAAACAGATTGTTTAGCATAAGTGGTTAGCACAATTGTAAGGGACCTTTCAAAGTCGTGTGGCCCGTTAACACCTCTGCAGCCACGGGACTAAAAGGTGGGTTAGTGGGTTACAGATTGTTATAATAAGCCATAAATCCATGTGCTTCTGTTAAATGAAAATAGTGCCTCTGTTAAATCCATGGTTTTTAGTGTCTAGCAGAGTTATGAATTTAAGCTCCCAGGCTCATTTTTTGAAAGCGTTGTGGAGGTTTTCTTTGAGGATGAGGACTGGCTAGGTCAGATACCTAGTGATTGCTTTGGGAAAAGCGTTCACCCACAGGTGATAGATTTCAGAGTGGTAGCTGTGTTAGTCTGTATCAGCAAAAACAACGAGGAGTCCTTGTGGCACCTTAGAGACTAACAAATTTATTTGGGCATAAGTTTTCGTGGGCTAAAACCCACTTCATCAGATGCATGGAGTGGAAAATACATTAGGCAGGTGCTGTGTATTTATATTCTCCACTCCATGCATCTGATGAAGTGGGTTTTAGCCCACAAAAACTTATGCCCCAATAAATTTGTTAGTCTCTAAGCTGCCACAAGGACTCCTCATTTTTTTTTTTCAGCTGATAGAGAGTTTTTGTCACCACACCTAAATTCATAGATCCAGTAACGACCCCAAAACACACCAAGAAAGCAGTCAGGCACTCAGCTACTACAGAATATGCTCTGAGAAGAAAGTCTGGGATATACACCTTAATACACTTAAAACCACCTTCACCAAACAAGGACAGTCAACTATAGAAGTAGACCACATCATGGAACAGGCCAACCACATATCCTGAGAGAACTTGCTTCAATACAGAAATAAAAACCCTGCAGACTGCAGACCCCTAGTTGTCACCTACCACCCCAAACTGGAACACATACGGAGCAACATCAATCACAACCCAAACTTGATGGGGACCCCATGCTGAAAGAAATCATTCCTGAACCTCCACTTTTGGCCTTCAAAGAACCCCAAACCTCTCCAAGCTCATCATCAGAAGCAAGCTCCCCCCAGACTAGGACACACTAACTTAAAGCGGCCAGAACAACAGATGCAAAACCTGCAGACATATCTCCACTGCTACAATGAGCAACACCCCCCACAATACCCCTTTCAAGACCCATGAATCCTACACATGCCTATCACAACATCTGATGTGGTATACCTAATCCAGCACACTAAATGCCCCAATAACAACTATGTGGGTGAAACCAGACAATCACTATGCTTTTGAATGAACTCACACAGGAAAATAATAAAAGACAAAAACGCCTTAACACCTGTATGTGAACACTTTTCACAAAACAATCATTTTATATCTGACCTATCAGTACTCATCCTCAAAGAAAACCTGCATAACACTTCCAAAAGATAAGCCTGAGAGCTTAAATTCATAACTTTGCTAGACACTAAAAATGATGGACCGAACAGACACACTGGATTTATGGCTTATTACAACAATCTCACTAACCCCACCCTTTTGCAGAAGTGTTAACGGGCCAGGCTACCTTGAATGGTTCCTTACAGTTGTGCTAAACAATGTGTTCCACCTTGCATTTTGCTATGACTCTGGACAGAGAGGACCTGTGCTCAGAGACAAACAGTGCCTGCTGATAGTGGGGAGGCAGCTGGCTTCAGCGGTGTTACTGAGCATCCTGCCTGTGTGAGCATGCTCAGTACAAGCCAAGCAGCAAATCTGGTGGGGGGTTGGGTGGGGGGGACGCCATGACCCCGCATGCTCCCTCTCCCCCCAACGCATCGCCTCTGACTCCAGAAGTACCTTTTCCAGACCTGAAGAAGAGTTCTGTGTGGCTCAAAAGCTTGTCTCTTTCAGCAACAGAAGTTGGTCCAATAAAAGATATTACCTCACCCACTTTGTCTCTCTAATATCCTGGGACCAACACGGCTACAACTACATTGCATACAATCTTCCGAGTGTCATTTTTTTCCAGTGGCTTATGGATCATGATATCATGGTTACTATTTTTGATGGTCGAAATGTGTTACATATTTGCAAACATTTTTAAATGAAATAATTCAAACAAAGAACAAGATACCTGGGTTTTTCCAAATTAATTTGTATATTCAAAACTCAGAGTAACTTCAACTTCAGTCAACAGTTTATTCCAATAGGTGGTGCTAGTAATTTCTGCATTAACTGTAATAGCTATTCCTTTCCTACTCTGTTAGCAGGCTCTGATGTGAAATGTAAAATTGCTGCGCACTCACAAATGAAACTGAGAAAAAGTAAATTACTTTTACTTTTATCGGCAGCTGAACGAACTCCAGTATTTAAAGTGGACCCTGTCCAGAAACATACAGGGAGACCACACATCACAATATCAAACGCATTAACAATCAGAAGGGTTTACCACAGAAATATACCCAGGCAATTCTGTTTGAAGAATAAAATCTTCCTGGGGAGTGTGACTACCAAGTGGCAGGCATTCACATTTGCACCAATAGTAAATATTCCTCTCTCATTTTCAGAATGTTTTTTACTATACATCTCAAAGAGCATTTGTCCTAGAGGGCGTATTGTATTCCAAATGTCAAATTCTAGCCCACCATCCTAAATACAAATTGTCCAATATCACTGCAAACACTTAATACACTGGTGCTATTATTTTTTCCTTCCTCTTCCATAGAGGGGCGACGCTCGGTGTCTGAGGAACCCAGAAAGTAGGTTTCTTATTATATACAGTGAATTCACAAACAAATATTCTCTTTGCATCATAATATCCTTGCAAAAAAATTTAAATGACAAGATACGGCTATCGTAGCTAGGCTTCATATTAAATTATAGAGCCTTAATTAGTGTCATTTTAATTCAATTTATTTGAATCTTTAAAAATGAAATGGAGCATTAGAAATTTTTTCCCCTCACACTTTGCTGAAGACCATGTTTCATGTAACTTTTCAATACAAGCTTCACGTTCACAAATCGAGTTAACTGAACTGTACAGGCCTATTTAATCTACTAAATTTATGAGTTTACAACTTCAAATGATAAATTGCAGTGAAACGTAATATTAAATTGAAAATTAGCTCATCTGCGTTTATTCTGCAGTTAAATTTAAAAGAATGCATTTTCAGGACCAACATGGAAGAAAAAGGATTTGAAAGCAAAAGCGAAGGGCTTGTCTGCACAGTGGGGTAGTGCGCTCTATAGGGGTGTGATTCCTAAAGCGCACCAATGTGCTGCATGTTAATTGGTCCATATAGACCCTCCTGGTATGCACTAAACATTCCCTGTAGCACTTAAAAGTAGCACTGTACTTGTTAAAGCGCACTAGGAAACCTTTAGTGTGCACCAGCAGGGACTACATGGATCAATTAAGGTGCATCACATTAGTGTGCTTTAGAAATCACATGCTTGTAGAGTGCATTACCCCACTGTGTAGACAAGCCCCGAGTCATTGTAGTATACGTCTATGGGTTTGTCTACACTAGAATTAGACACCTGCAGCTGGCCTATGTTGCAAGGTGGGAAGGTCCCAGAGTCCCAGCCTGAGCCCAGAAGTCTACACAGCAATGAAAAAGCCCCGCAGCCTGAGTCCTGGAAGCATGAGTCAGCTGGCATGGGCAAGATGCAGGTTTTTAATTGCATTATAGACTTACCCTGTCTTTCCAACTAGAAGAGGTTTGATTGCTTTCCTGTAGTGGTTAAAAAAAATTGCCAATTCCAGGAAGCATGTAAATCCCAAAGTCTCCTGTCTGGCAATACAGAGCAGTATTACAAGACCACTAGGCCAACTGTCTCTGTCCTTTAACATTGCTTATTGCTCTGCCCACTTTATCCATTCTGATGACAGCTATGGATACTGGCTATGGAGGCATAGCAAACGCTTTTGATGCCAACAAAATGGATGTCCCTAACCTAGTCAGCAAGAGGTTCTGCGAACAGTGTGGTGGCCTCCCACTTCCCCTTGCCTAGAGATTTTGATGCATCATGTCAACAACGTGATCAGTTTTCTATTTATAATTCAAGATCAGCAGTATTATTGACCAGGCAGTACTTCCAGTTGGATATCAAACACCAGCTGATGATTTAGCCTTATATGCGACTACTTCATCTAGAGACTTGACTGTAATCATGGTTGAACAGCAACTTGGCACCCCTTCAAAATAAAAGTTACTAATCAGTTGCTTCTGTAAGGGACTTCAGTGATGTGCTTTTAGGTTTTTAAGTTGCAGATGAAAGGCAGGATGTGCAACTGCTGTGACACTCCAAGTTTTACCCAATACAATAACAGTAACAATAGCATTCCTTTTTCATGAGTGGAAAAGTCATAAACCCTTCAAAAAGAAAAAGGTTTATTTGTAAAACTTTAAAAAATAACTAAAATAATGCAATAGAACATTTTGCAACATACACTCACCAGCATTGGAACCTGTCAAGTTGTAACGAACATTTAGCTTTTTGATGATGTTTTCATGGATCTGATACCAATCACTCTCGGTGTTGCACCTATGAAAATGGTAACACTCTTAAATCTGAAATGAGAGCTCACAGTTGTCAGACCCACTGTAACAAACTTAACTGGCTTCTCCAAATAAATTGTCTTTTGCTCACCAACTAGCAGCTTGAGATTTATCTAAATCAACAGGTCATATTGTTGGCACAATGAGGGTTTTGGCATGATGCCCAATGAAACAGCTTCCCAGAACAGGGAGCAGTATCATGGCTGCACTCAGATGCACTGGTTGAGGATGTCACTGTAGGAATGCTCGCTTTGCATGGGAAAATTTGAGCATAAGGGTGTCCTTGGTGGCACTCAGTAATTCAGCTACTGCTCAATTACTCATGTGTATTAATCTCTTCTTCATCTCTAAATTACAGTGAAACCTCCCTAACATGACCATTCAAGAGCTCAGCAGAAACAGGACATCTAGTAGAGATGATGTTTAACTAAAGGGCAAAAGAAAGTATGTTCTTAGTCTCACAGGGATAGGAGGCTGCCTATAGGAGAAAGTCATTTGAATAGATTAAAAATACTGTAGGTACAAAAGCGTCTTGCCACAACTTTAAAATATAGCATTTTCAGTTGCTTTAATTTAAAGTGTTTGAATTCCATAATCTGACCAATATTTGAGAAATATTCCACAGAACTTTTTCTTGTCATTTAGACTAAAGTTAGTCTCAGTGTCAAATTTATCCTGTTTCACCTGAACTGAAGTACTAACGCCATATTTATTTTTACCAACTACAGACTTTGAGAGTGGAATTCAACTGTCCAACAAATACATTAACAATGTGCTATCCAACAGAGAGCACTTTAATCTAGACTGACAGAAAATTAAAGTAAAATAAAAGTCAGCCACCTGTCCACCGTCATACTAAATTGCTGTCAGAAGCACTGCTTCCAGCAGTTCTAATTCAGCACAGTGGGGAATAAGAGACAGGTGAAGGGCTGCTTTTTAGAGACTGAAGTGTCTTCAAGGCTAAAGTATTAAACTTTACTGGAAGAGGAATCCCTTAAGTGTCTGACTAGTGTATCTCAGTTTATACCCTTAGAATAGACCATTCCACAAAATATTTCTTAACTTATTGAGCCCAAGGTCAGCGGGGAATTCTATGTTCTGTGTCACTGCATCCAGGAAATTGAACTTTCTTCCTATCTACTGTCTGCCAAAATCTCATCTGCCATTTAATAAACACATGCATTTAAAATAATTAGATTTTGAGTGAGATGTTTTGGTTTTCCAGTCCCTGCACTTATGGCATTGTTAATATTTTACACTTTTTGCTATTGCAGTTTTGTAATTGTTTTGCATCATTATGTATAAATGATTGTCCTGCCTATTACTTTCTGATAAAGTACTCTTGGAAGACATTTGGGTGGTACAAGGAACTCCAAAGAAGTCCCCCAAACACCTCACATTGCCAGATAAAGATAGGCAGAGAAATTGCTATAATTAAGATTGTTTAAGCATTTCCATTCTAACCCCCCATTTTCAGTGGCTTTTAAAACTTTCTGAAACTTACACTTCTCAAGCTCAAGTCTTCCAGGTTTAGCCTTTGCCCAAAGGAAAATCATTTTGGAAAGTTGGAGCAAAAGCAATTCAACTATTTTGGAGTATGAGTAGAGTGAAAGACAAAACACACTTTCATGGTTATCAAAACACTTCTCGGACACTGAAAACCTACGGGTAGAAAGTGGCAATTTGACAGGGAGAGGAAGTGTGTAGGAATACGAATTATAAACAAATGAGGGGGAGGGATAGATCAGTGGTTTGAGCATTGGCCTGCTAAACCCAACATTGTGAGTTCAATCCTTGAGGGGGCCACTTAGGGATCTGGGACAAAATCAGTACTTGGTCCTGCTAGTGAAGGCAGGGGGCTGGACTCGATGACCCTTCAAGGTCCCTTCCAGTTCTAGGAGATAGGATATCTCCATTATTATTATTATTATAAAAATCACATTCTAGGAAAGCAAAGTACATTTTTCAGAGAGCTCTTGCAAAACTTGTAAAGTGTGCACTAAAGACAACCTGGCTGTAGATTGAATGCATGGCTTAGCTGCACAGTGAAAACTCTAGTGATGGTGTGCAGCAAATTGTTCACTGTGTTTCTTGTAAAATAGCACACTAAATGAAATTACACAGGTCTCAGTCCTGCAAATTTAACAGGACTGTTTGCATGATCAAGGCCTATAGGTGTAGAAAACAGTTATGATATCCTATTGCATTATTTGATAATTGTATCCAATCAGGGCCAGATTAAAGTAACACATGCACCCCAAACTCACATATTTCCTGACTTCTGAATGTTTAATTGTGCAATTTTTTTAACGTAATATTTTCATTTTTGAAAAAAAACAAATGAAGAGTTGATGGAAGTTTTTCAAACTGCGACAAAAATGGTGAAAAATTCTGAATTTTTATGAATTTTTTTATGAAACCCTTTCCTTAGTCTTTGACCAGCTCAAAAACATACTATTTTATATTATGGGGGATTAGAATGGAAATGCTTAAACAACCTTAAAGGACTAAAGCCCTTTACTTACACTAATTAAAAGCCATTGCTTCTTGGTACAGACGGATATAAATGGACTCCAAAACTCTTAATAAATTAAAAGGAAACAATCTCTTACATGTATACTTTTAAGATAAGGTCATCCTTTGAGTCTCCTGCTAGTAAATCTGCAATGCTGAGGACTGCACAGCCAAAGGGCCGTCGGTATTGTACGTTGCAAGCATTTTTCTTTTCTCCAGCTCCCATTCGGCCTGTCAAATATAACAAAAATATGATGCATAATCCACTAAAATGCCTCCTTCTAAAGCCACAGAGGAGGGAGAGACCAGCTCAGCTGATACCTGAAGATAATGTAATGGTTTTTATGAGATTATGACAAGCGTAGTGGTTACAAATCTCCTCCATCTTTTCATATTTTCCACTTAAATTAGAACAGTAGACAATATGAAAAGTGCATTAGACTTATAGTGCATTTGTAAGGTCCAAAACTGAGGGGAAACTGGTTACCTTCTCCTGACCTCCCCTATCATATACTTCTTGTTTCATACCCAGTAACTATATTCGATTGGGCAATGCTGCACCAAATTTAGCATTCAGGTATCATGTACTACCGGACATTCCGTCTTTAAACATTTGTAAATATTATTTCACTACAGTTGTTGTTAATAGTCCTCTGCCCTGTGACTGATAGGAAGTGCTGTCTCTGGCGATGACAATTAAGCAGACAGGTGCTGCTCCCATAAGAGGCAATTCAGTAGCATGGGGATAAGTGGACTAATGCAAGAACAGCTATTAAAGATGAAAGACAAGAGGAAAGAACAAAAAGAAGAGGAAAGATGCTGAAGCACAAGAAAGCAAATAAGTATAAAGAAACAAACAAAGAAGCAAAAGGAAGTAGTGATGGAAACCAGACCTTTTTCTAACATTCTTTCCCCTTTGATTCAAAAACAATAGCCCAACTGCATGAACAAAGCAATAGCCGAACATACAGCTGCATGTCCTGCATCAAAATAGAGGGGAATCCCTTCCTTTACCTACTCTGCTCAATCACAGCTATGCACCTTTTCTACCAGGTGCATATGCGTTTGATGCCAATTTCTGAAATGAAAAGCACCTGGTCATAGCTGTTGTCGGAAAATGCCTCCCCGTAACATTTCCCTGCATCACAGCAGCTAGGAGAGTAATCTTTCATTTTCACCAAATACATTGTCCAAATCTTATTTTAATCTAAATATTTCAGCAAGTGTCCTTGGTCTTTCAATAGCTCTCTCTCATAATCCCACATCTGTGCTATGTTTATGCAGTGACAAATGGCAAACTATTTTATGACTCTGCAGTGTTTCTTGTTCCTTCTCTCTCTTTGGAATAAAAAGATGCTGGGTTCCCTACTGAAGGCCCTTAAAAACTGCATTGGCCTTTCAGACGGTCTGATTGTGGAGCTATGAAACATATAGAACCTATTTCAACTTTACAGAATCAGAAGACAGAGGCTTTGAATTGATGCAACTCAAATAGCATATGCAGTGACTACAATATCAAGACTGTCATACAAAATTCATAGGCATACTTTCTGGAATCTTAAACTGATCTAAATGCAAAGACTTGAGGTTTTTTCCTTGCTCTAAAAGTCTAGATTGTCAATATTTTAGAAAAATGGTGAAACAATGAGGATTCTATACCTTGTCCTTATTTTAAAGGTTTATTCTTACCAACTTGGCGGTTGGCTCAAAAGTTAACATTTTACACCATTTTCACCTCAAAATTGTTTACCACCCAATTTCCTACATCTTACCCATTAAATGAGTATATGTCTCCCAGCTTTGAAGTCCTGGTGACACACCACAACCATATAAAAAGGAAAGAAGTATACAGAAAAGATCTGAGACACATTGCTTATTCTGTATTAAGACAGGTGTGTATTACAGTATCCAAACCCAGCGTGCAGTACAGAGGATTATTACAACAAAAATAAAATACTCTTCAAAAAATCAGAAAGAAATGAAGGTACACTTAGTGCTGTACATCAACTATAACATTATTTTACAGGCAACAATGCATATCTCTAAGAAGAGAAATACTCAGGAATGATGTGAAGATTATTGGAGTTAACTCAATATAGCCTCAAGACAATTTCTTAAAGAAATAGATTAAATAAAATACATGCTCTTCACTTCTACAGATCTTAAACATTGTCTTTGGAGGAAATCAGATTTGTTCATATCATATGTTAAAATTTTCTTAAAGGGAACAACATCTCCTCCATTGCAGTTTCTTTTCCCTTATCCCACGAAAAGGACACTGAATTCGTTTGAACTATTTAAAAGAACGGGTACACATTGTCATCAGTCCATTTATACTAATTAGATCTGCTAAATTTCCAGACAAGTTGTTCTACTAGTGCAACATGCCTGAAATTACTCTGTGGGAGTAAAGCAGGTTTTTTCAACTCTTTTTAAACTCATTCATTATGCTAAGACAGTTCATATGATAGGCATGCATGTGCTTTTTGGTATTAATGAGAATAGTATCCTATATTGTTATAGGGTACTCTGTCCTTAAGGGATTATAAATTTAGCTTCTTAGAGTGTTTAAAATATTAGCACAGAGCAATGCTGGGAAATTCTAGGCACAGTTTATTTGCTATTGTGTATCAGAATGTAAGCACATTCTTTTCAAAGCTTACTCAGACATACAACCAGCGAATGTGACAGATGCTATAAGCAAAACTCAAGCACATTGTCTTTCCTTTATTTGCTGCCCAATGCCTTCCAAATGTACAGTTTATGCTGGCAAGCTGTCGTACATACCTATGCGGATAATGTGCACAGTGATGTAGATGTCCTTCCTGAGTTCACTGCTGCTCAAATCCTGCAGAGAATCAGAGTCTCATTATTTTTGACCCACAATTAAAATATGATATTTAAAGATCTTAGCATATTACTATATGTGCCAAAGTGATAAATGAACACGGAGTGCACTTTTAACAGAGGATTTGTTACAATACAGTACTGAAAAATTACATCCTTGAATACTTTAAATTTGTGGCCTTGCAGGAGTATGGGCAACTTCTGTCCTAAAATGCTATGGAACAGATTGTGCCCTGCTGCATCAAGGCTGCAGAGGGGCAGGACGCAAGGAGCTCCCTCGAGCGCCACTGCACATCAGTGATGCATGACTGCAGTCCCTACACTCTTTAAAGCACAAGGATTGCTGTCTCCAAGCAACCCCTGGGTGCAGGAGAGACAAGGAGGAGGAGGGGCTGCCCAGCCTTGCAGGGAGGAGTATGCTGTACTTGTGCACTGGGAAAGCACCAGAAAGTAGGCAGAATTATTTCTGGTGTTCCCCCAGGTGTGGTGCAGCACTGCAAGACCTTTAGCATTGGTCTGTGCCTCAGTGACACAACAAAATCTTTCATTAGGATTCAAATCAATAGCCAATCAAACAGCTCCGACACAGCACTGAACTATTTAATTACACAATAGTTAATTTACTCCATCTTTTATTTAAAATATTCAGCACAATTGCATGAAATGAGCATAAAGAATGTGTAAAGCTCACCACAAAGAGAGAACAATGTCTTTCTGGCTTCTCTGGACATTTTGGCAAACCATTCCTATTCAGTCTTAAAAAAAACCTCTCGCTGCAAGAAAATAAATAGAGTAGGCTGAGTAATGTTAAGGCAAATGAGACTTGATTCTGAATTTCTTTCAAGGTGAAATCTTCCTCAAAATATAGAAGAATGAAATTTCTAAGAACTTGATAACAACAAAAAGGTATACTGAATGTTGATGTATTTTTTGTTGTAATTACAACAAATCCGAAATTAAATACAATTTTTTTGGGGCTGTGATTTTGTAGAACTGTATTCACTTCCTGTGAAATGATGTACATACATAGAAATACAAAACTATAAAATCTAGGTACACTGGACATTATTACAGAAGGTATGAAATAGGTTGGTACGGATTCTAACTTTGCGGGTATTGGCATAATCACACAAACTGCCATTCAGTCAGTATCTTTCTCACAGATTAATAAAATTGTCAGAGGAAAAGGTAATAGGTAAGATGATGTTGACAATATTTGTCCCTACTATTAAACTTTAACTTCCACCCTCCCTAATGTAGCTAGACTGGACGGATTTTAGTAGACTATGGAATAAGAGCCTTTATAGCTGCAGTCAGGAAAGCATTATTTCCAGAATTCTGCCTTTAAAATCTGTCAGTGTTTGCTAAATGCTACTGTGGAAACAAGTATCAAAACAAAGAGTTTGGCAAATTTAACAATGCCTCTGCTAAAGCAGAGAGAATGAGAGAATTTTAGAGCCACTGAGGGGACAGGACCTATGAAAAAGGGGAGAAAGGGTATTTGTTACATTAAGGAAAGATTCCCACAGAATTTTAATGGGAGTTGGATCAGACCCATAGGAAGGTTCACTATATGAAACAGGCAATTCATGTGTGGAGGAAGTTTACAAGAGAGTCAGAACCCTCCATGCGTTGGACCAATTCTAATGGGATGGGTCATAACCCTATTTTTAAAGGGTGGGAGCAACAGGGTCACAAATAGTACGATGTGCAGAAAATCTAGCCAAGCAGCTGTCTGGATACCCCAAAGTTATAAAATAAATTACCAAGAGATCATCCTGTACATACATTTTTAACTACAGCTTTCTCAGCTGTTTCTATCACTTCTGCCTATGGCCAAGGCCCAAACATTTTTGCCAATGTTTTATACTAATATATATCTTTTAAAAACAGCAGCAGGAATATTTATAGGAATATGCCGGATGAGGTACAAAACCCTGAAGATGAGTTAAATCTTTATTGTTCTGTCATTCCCTATTCACAAAATCTGGAGACCAACCATTTAATCAAAATCATATTTAACCTGAGCTACAGTTGGGTGTTGGTTTAATTTGTATAGGTCAGCCAACCTGGGCAGTTTGAATCCCCAGGTACTTAGACTTTTTATTGGAATAGGTCATTTTAAACTACATTCCCCATTTGTAGCTACCCAGTTTCCCATCTGATGGCAGAATAAGTGAAGCTAAGAGTAGGTAGTCTAAACTCTTGTATATTTCATAGGCAGAGACACGGAAATGCCATTTCTCAAGCACATACAGATACTTTAGTATATAGCCATCTCATCTCCATGGTAACTTTAAAAGAGGGTTTAAAAATAAGGTCACTCAACATTCTGTGCAAAATCTAACTGTTTTCTGCTGCATATGAATTTAAAAGATGAAGTGTTTTTCAACATTTTTAAAAAAATTAGCTCATTTTAATACAAATACAATACACTAAAAGAGTGCTGTTATATCAGATGCTGCATCACCGGGTTCTAAATAAACTTAAAATTAGCACTCACCATAGCAAGAATATTACTGTGTGTATTATATAGCACTTAGGAGCCGCAGTCATTGGCCAGGATCTCATTGTGGTAGATGCCATACAAGCACAGAACAAAAAGATGGTTCTTATCCCACATTGGCTACACACCCTGTCTCTATGATCTGCAACCAGCAATGAATCTGAACTGTGTCAATATAATTTTAGTCCAGGCAACCAACAAGGCTGTTCTGAATTTCACCACCTTATCTCCAGTCTATAGACCTGTCCATCAGTCATGCGTATCAGCAGCAGTGGATGTTTTACTGAATGATTTGTGCTTAAAGCAGGCAAATGGAAATGATTGTCCCAAACAAGAACAGCAGCTTCCAGGAAACTGGGTCTTTGGCAGACTTATGGTGTTTATAAACAGTTTTTATAGGCTGGTAAATGTTGAAAAAATATGCATGCCCTCCAAAACCCAGTGCCTGTTGTAACAGCTTACTGTACATTCACATGTCATTTCATCTTTCAGATGATCCATTCATTCCTGCTCTATACCTTCTCATATAGCTAAATAGCTTGTTATCGCTTACACACGCTTGAAAAATTTACTCAGCACCTCATAGCTTGAGATATAAATCAACAAGTCAGGGTAAGAACACATGGGCTGCCTGCCTGTCGATTTCCAGAGACACTTAACTCACATTTGGAAGGTTGCTTGCATAAACATAAGCACTAGGAATTTATTTTTAGAAAAAAAATTGCATTTAGATTCTGCAAATGTCAAAGGCACTGCCCTAGGAATGCTTCCTACTTCCACAGGTGTGCGGATTTTTCAAGCCCTGATTACACACGCTCTCTGCAAGGCTAAGCAAGTGTCATTCAGGATACAATTATTAAAAGCCAGCAAGCAAGCACTGTCATGCCACACAGAAATATACCATTCGAGATGACACTTAATTGGTGATGCAGAGCTAAATTTCTCAGATGCATTTTAAATGTAGTATGATTGAAGGAAAATAACTCTAGATGCAGTTTCCACAGTATGATTTACACAAAAATGAAGCAAAAGCTACAGTTCTGACTACAACGTTAGAATACGTTAGCAGAGAGCAAATGTGAGAAGTCAGCCTTTTAAAATATTAGGAAATGTTGATATTCAGTTACTTTTAAGTAAAGAGGGCACGTGTGTTCATTAAACCTCATGTGGATTTCTTCATAGAAACCATGTTAGAAAATGAATGAGAAAAGTGAACTGCTTTTCTAAAAGAAAGAGAAAATACAGAATTTGAGAGATCTAACAGCTTGGCTTCAATCAGCCAAAACTCCAGATGATTAAAGCTGAGGCTAGTGTTTTACTTCTCAGCAGTCAGTCACTGGTAAATATACCTGGCAAATATGCACAGCAATAACCCAAAGCAGAAGGATCTTTTCTTTGTATTAAGGGCATTTGATTTTAGCTTAGGCTTCTAAGCATTTTTATGAGTGCTAAACTCGCCACTAAAATATGCGGTGCACATTCTAGCTCTTCTGTCTTCTGACAAGAAATACAGAAATAACGAACACTGAAGAGATTAATTTAAGCAGGTCAACAAGGGATTTTTGTACTGAAACATCCTCTGTAATACTGAAGTAACAATGTGCTCCAAATGTGCAGTATACCGATTGCCTTTAAAAGGAACGTGCCACAAAAGTTCTATTTTCATAACTGATTCTTATTTACTTATATTACTACTTGTGTGTCATTACTCTAGACAGATTGCCTATTGTATGACTTTTAAACACAAATCTGGCTGTCTTTTTGATATTATGCCACATGACATGATGTTGTAGAAAAGATTACCTTATAAACTGGCCAAATTCCTCAGTATAACATGGTTTTAGACATATTTAGGTAGAGACTATGTAAGGTTAGGTTCAAATAAGAAAAAACAATGAACACAATAGATACTGAGAAAAAAGTGTTAGATAATTTTCTAAAATATTCTTAGAACAAAACACACGTTTCAAGAGTAAAGTTAGTTATATTTTATTACACTGACAATGTGTATACATTACAGACCCAATCCTGTACCCATTGAACAGTTGCAAAAGGTTCACTGACTTCAGTAACAATAAAACTAAATCCAAAATATTACCATTATATGTAATGATAGTACACATGCAAGATGTTCTACAGCATGTCACAGATGCCTGGTATAAATAGATAGTAAGACCTCCAAAATGGAAGTCACAGGAATGTAATTAATGGACACTGAGAAAGGTTTTCAAAAATGCCTAAGTGATGCAGGAGCACAAGTCCAACTGACTTTCAAATGGGACTTGCACTTTTAAGTCAATTAAGCATTTCTCAAAATGGTGCCTGCCCAGAATCTTTAGTTTGATGTAACTCCAACAATCTAACTAAAAATATTAAATGGTGTGTGAGAGAAAAGAATATTTCTTTTAATCTGAATATTGAATTGAGATTACACACCAACTACTGGTATAAACTGAAACTTGGCTACTAATCCAGAGAGGGAAATTAAAAACATACAGTGAAATTCTCAAAGATACCTTCATGGCTCTGCTGACTCTTTTAGTCATGGAGACTGCATGACTCTGTGTGCTAGCCTGCGAGCAGCAATATTTTGAAGGCTTAGGCTGGGATTTTGGTTTCTTGAGTAACAGCTAAAATGATTTTAGCATAAATAATTTGCACCAATTATTTTTCACTAATATTTCATATAGAAACCATGAGTCTGAGAGATACAGAAATAACTTCAGAAGACAAAGTATGTTTAGGCGATAGGGAATTTATGATGAAAGAAACAAATGCACATTCCAGGCTGGAGCCTTACTAAATGGTAAGCTTTTATTTAAAGCTTAGCCTGGCACCACAGGAGAAAGATATTTTGGGTTGTGGTATCATCAATACATAGCTTTACATCTCCTTTATGCTGAACCCAGATTCTAATGTCTCAATTATTCTCCCAGTGCCTCACTGAGATAAGGGTCTGGATAGAAGCAAATTTACTGTGACTCAATCCCAATAAGAGGGAAATGAAACTTGAAGACAGCGGGAAGAGTTTACAAGAAAGGCTGGCATCTGTTATCTATACCACAATCTGAGGATATATGCTTATCTTTTACCAACCCACTGGATTCACCGTGATCGTGGATTTACTGGGGTGGTCCACAGTGCCAGGAGACTGATTGTATTTCTCATGCAGACTCTGTTACAGTCAGCACCCAGCTGGCTGCAATGTGCCCTGGCTGGTTAGGAATATCCTGAAACCCTCCCAAAGTTCCAGCTGGTGAAGAATGC